TCACGCTAGAGTCTTTGAGGTGGTTGTAGCCTCGCACGCGCAGGCAAGATCTCGGACGACACAATATTGACTTGGTAGGGCTATGACCAAGGAAGGGCGRCACTAAAAAGGGTAGCGAGYGGRGTTCTTTCGRCGGAGAGGCGGTAAAAAGGCGTCGTGGCCGGCCCTAAGACGCTCAAATCGCAGTCTTGACATGGTTGGGCCAGCGCGTGTGGTAAGCCAGCGGAGCCGGGCCGCCAGAATAGCCAAGCACGGCCCTAGGAACCAAGGGCGCAGGCCGTAGGCAGATCTTGGGATCGAGGCCAGCAGCCAGCAGCAGAGCGGTAGAGGAGCGTGTCGGAGTGAGCCGAGGGGTCGAGGGTCCCGCAGGACTATCCCCCTTCGCTTTTTGCAAGGGGTTCCGACCGCGGGCCCGCAAGGTAAGACCACGTATCAACGGTCCTCCTCCCCCATCCGTTGTTTTATCCCTGAGTTTTTTTTTCTTATATTTATTTTTATTTTTTTCTACTTCTAGATCTTTTTTGGGATGAGGCCCGGTACCAGTACCGGGACCTGCAGTGAGGCCCAACAGCCTACTTCGGTGGAAACATCCACGGACCACTGGGATACCACTACCGTGAAACAGTCCTTCGGGACGTCCGTTAACATTGGAACGACATAGAGAAGGCGGACCCAGCTACTGTGCAAAGTCCCCCACTAGTGAATCTGGTATAGGTTCAGGGGAGGGGCGCCCAGTTTGGGTTGTTCCGAGGTAGTGGTTGATCAGCCAAACAAACGATGTAAGCTAGCACGACCGCAGAGTGAACATGCCTGTTAGGGGGTTACGACCGGGCAAAGCAGACCGGAGGGATTATGGTGGGGACTGCAACAAGGCTAGCAGGTACCAGCAAGCTTAGCTTGGGTGGCACACTCACGGGCTGTTAAAATGTAGATCAAGAGTTCGCTCCGGAGAAGGGGTCTACGTATGTGTTCCCATGACCCCATCGATTAGGTGTCTCACCAAGACCAATTTTTATTTACTATTATTATTATTTTTTATTATCAGCCCCTATTCTCCTTTTAGGGACTGCACTGCAGTCTTTTCTCAGATGGATGGACCTGCTGCCTAGGTTTGGGCAGATTCGTTCAAACAAGAGCAAATGGTAGTGATGCATCCTTTGAGTGAGGCACGAGTAAGCTATGTGGACATACCTTTCTAGGCTGTATAAGACAGCACGGTCCGGTGACCAGGACTTCATGTCCATTCAGGTATTCAAGGCGGGTGGGCTGTGCGCTATTATCCAGACATACCTTGACTGGCGGGAGAGCATGCAAACCTCTTTATTCCACCTTCCCCCCAATTCATTCCTTCTAACTCCCCTCAAAGATTATCTTAGCACTCATATATAGCTGTTCATTTAACTTTCTACAATGCATGTCCTGACACACATAACAAAATAAAACGCAGTAGCCTGACATAGTATTATATTCAGATACCCAGGGGATAGCAAGAAGGGGAAGGGATCACACAGGTTAGCGAGATTATACCTGAAGTTCCCTGCCTCCAGAACCCCGCCTGGGCTTCTTCTCTTGTGCGTGCTCGTTCGTGACTTGGTAGAGAGGCATATTGTTAGCAGCAAGTCCATCAGACCGAAGAACACTTCCACGCCGATGTTGAAGGCGAGGAGACAGCATTCGTGTCGAGACCAATGCCAACAACAAGTACAACCATGGACACAGCAGGCAGCGCTGCGGCAAAGATGAACTTTCCACCGATAGTACTTGAAAGATTCACACCCTGTCTCGCCATTTTCCACTCATCCCCGCTTGCAATTCACGCAGCCTCTATGGCTGATTTTGGCCGACCTGCTGCTCAGATGCGAGATCCGATGCTACCATCACGTTCGTCATGCTAAAAAAACCCGGTATAGACTCTCCCCTCGCCCTGGCTAGCTCATAAAGGAGAGAGATATCCCTTATTCTTCACACCGCATTCTCCTCTCCGAAACTGTCACACACCCTATTTATCGGTTTTCTCCCTTCCTACTAACTGATCATGAAACCTAGCCCTTCCAACGGATTCGCCCTACCAAAAGATCCTGGGATCTCCTCTCCCTCTACTCGATTCCATTCAGTATGGAGTGAGATGTAAAATTTTCGTCCCCGCCATAGCTATCTTCGTCCTCATGTCGTGCAACCCTTATCCCTGGTAACACAAAATTCGTTGCTCAGAACCAAAATCCGGCATGGCCATCTGATCCAGAGTGCTTGAAAACCTCAGATTCACCTCTTTGTTTGCTCAATTCCGTCAAGAATTGAACGAGATACGATCTTTTTCTCTTTTTTGTCCACTCTTTCTTCTCTCTTCCCAACTCCTCCGCGCTTTCATTTCTCCTTCTACCTCACTACCTCTCATCTAATTTAGAAATCTAGCTTTGTACTTGGATTCGTCCTGCCTCTAAGCCAGTACCCCACTCCTCTCTTCTTCGTCATGATCCTCTCCCTCATCGTCTCCTCCCCCTCTTCTCCCTCGTAGCCTGTATGGGTTTGAGGGTTGGGCCTATCCTAAGTTGGACGGACCAGTCGCTGTTTTTTTTGGGGGTTTCTGAACAGGAGGATGGGCACCCTAAGTTGGGAGGTATCAGAATCCTGGTGTTTCTTTTGTGGATTGCTGAAAACAGAGTTGGGAACACTCTAAGTTGCGTGGACT